TTGTGTAGTAATACGCGGTTTAAAAAAAAAAAAAACCGTCAGTATGATCTTTAACAACTTCTGCGTTCATTCTGTTTTGGTTTTACTTTAGGGTATTGTGGTCGCTCATTTAAAAATCTGGTAAAAACTGGCAATGTTTAAAAAATTGAGGAGTAAATTTTTCATCGTGCTCAGACGCCCAGTTTTCAAAGTTTACAGTTTCGCGCGTGCAAAATAGAAAAATCGCCCAAATCCCGCGGCATATGCTTATAAGTGTCACCGTATGTACAATATTCCTGGTAGACGCATGAGCACTTTATGTTATCATCCAAAGTATATATGCAAGTCGCGGAAAGATAAATTGAAAATGCCCATCTGCGCTTAACTAGTGACTGTTAAATTATTACTAAAAAGCTCACAAGAAAAAAAGAGACCAGTAAGTATTTAATTCAAAGAATATTTCTTCCTGAATGTGGAAAGTGTGTCGGGTGAAAAAGAATTAGAATAAGAACATGTATACGTATACCACAACACCTGAATAAACTTCCTCCCCTCAAAAATTCTACTTTGCTTCACACAATATTTGTAAGATTTTGCCTTAACTTTGGCAACTGAGTAATCCGTTGTTCTCGGCGGCAAAGTTACACGTTCACTGTTCTACACCGGTAACATTTTTCACTACGGTTAAAGAGCAAAGACCCGTGCTGTCATATCGGTTCGGAAACGCGTTAAATTTAATGCGAGACATTCCGCAAAAGTAACTGAAGGTCCGCAAATCGCTCCCGTTATGGCTACGGATTCACGTTGTAAGATGATAAGATCACAGAGCATCGGTAAATTCTAAGCAGTTTTGTTCGTTTGATGAATGCTACAAATTTATCATTGCGATTCAATCATTTAAATCAAGTCACTACATGCTTCGCATTTGATTCGATAGTCATCGATCAGTAATTGACAATTTCCAAATTTTAGGACATTTTTTAAGAGATGCCGAGGCTCGCATGTCGCTATGGTGCGTCAGACATTTGTTCTCAAAATGTGACCGAAAAAAAAGATAAAATAGATTTTAAAATAAGTTCTGAGTGAAGAATTGAAACCGAAAGGCAAAGCGATTTGTGATATTTACTTTGGAAAATTTTTCAGTGGTAATTCAAAATAGTATCTGGTCGAATTTTGCGCTTAATGTCTGACGCGTACCACGGCGTGCAGCGTGAGGTGATTCTCGAAAATTCTCATAAAATGAGCTAAAATATAGACATTATCAATTATTGATTGATCGACCATGACATCTTCCCCCAAAATGCTGAAGGACCACCTTAAAGTTTATGTAGATAAATTAAAAATACATTTTGAGTGAGAATTGAAACCGAAAGGTAAAACGATTTTTGATATCTACTTTGGACAATTTTTCAGTGGTATTTCAAAATGGTATCTGGTCAAATTTGCGCTTAAAATAATATCCGACGCACCACAGCGCGCAGCGTAATGTGATGCTCGAAAATTCTCAAAAAATGTGGTAAAATCTAGACATTATCAATTATTGATTGATCGGCCACTACACACCGAAAAAAAAGTAAAGTTGATTTAACATTCTGGATGTAAAAAAAGTGTACAAGAACTTGTAAAATGCTGAATTACCCGCCACAGCAGTTAGTTTTACATCTCAGTATTGCTATAGTAATTGCTGGAGCGGATAATTCAGCATTTTTTAAGTTCTCGCACTCTTTTTTCACATCCACAATGTTAAATCAACTTCAGTTTTTTTTCGGTGCATCTTTCTCCAAAGTGCTGAAGGACCACCTCAAAGTTTATGTGGATGAAGGCCGTTTTTTCTCAAGCGATTTCGGACCGAATACGCGGCAACACTTTCGCACAGAGGTGAGGGAGTGGGTAGGTATATGCTAGTTGGTAGAACGGTATTTTCACGGATGGCTGCCGACCTGGTAAAGCGTCGAGGAGGAGGGAGTGTGATGTAATTCACTGAAGCCAGGACACACAATAGCATATCAGTATCTTCCTCGGTTTCCTGCTTCCAGCAAAAATATAGCAATACGCCGTTATTATCCGACAAAATTTGCAAACTTTCGTAAGAATTGACTCTAATGAATTCTGCTTTTGTGGAAAGTTTGTTTGGAGCTGCTTTTTTCCGGTCTGTAGTGAGTCACGTTTTCGCCGTTAGGCACGGTAAAAACGAGTGTTGCATTTGATCATCTTTTAAGCCGCTTTTGGTTTTTACCAAGGAATTAAAATAAATAGGTCCGATATCTATTCGATTTTAAATAAGCTCTGTTATTAATGGACTTTATGCTATAGCAGTGATAATCTGAGTGATCTAAATTTGGTGCATTATCATCGTCAGTGATTTGATTGATGTGTCAAATAAGGGGACAGCTCCAGAAAAATTCATTACATTCCATCTTCGTACAACAAGAGGAATAGATCGTATTCGATAGTGGTTCGTTGTATAGTTTGGTTCAAAACAACAGAACATAACCTCGAAAGAAAATTTTAGGATTTAAGTAGGCAAAGCTAAAAATGAGAAAATTCACTAAAATTTCACTATTCATTGTCATTTTAAACTCTTAGCATCAAAAACCCATTACAAGAAACCCATTCCCTCCGATTACTCAATTTACTTTTGAGGCTATGTCGACATGTTGAACCAATCGATATCGATATCGATACAATCTCACCTGGTTGATACATCGAATACGATCCATAGGGTCGATCCAAAATATACTTCGTAGCCTTAATTTTGTGATGGGCGTTTTCGCGGGAAGATTGGGAACTTAGTAAAAATGGAAACTTAGTGTGGAAACACTAAAAAAGGTTAGTACAGATCCGATGCGACTCCTTGGCTCTTGGTGGACGAAAGAAAAGACGAAAAACTCAATGAATTAAGTTGATTCGTCAAGCTCAATTGGCGTGGTCGAACTGGCATGCGATATATCGCATCGATTAGGTAAAAAATCTCGGCATATTTTGAAATTTTAGCAAACAAAAGAATGATAGCCCCTGCGCATGAGCATAAATAATCATTCTAAACCACAAATATTGCAAAATTCAGAGAAATAAAAGCAGAATAGTGTTTGGGATAAAACCTCGCATTCGATTCAGCTATCGATTTCTATACCGAATGTGAGGTTTTTTTCCAAACACTGTTCTGCTTTTATTTCTCTGAATTTTGCCGACTTTTGGGCTTAGAATAATTCTTTAGGCTCTCCTTTGTTTGGCTAAAAAAAAAAATCAAAATCGGCTCAAAATCTGCCGAGATTTTTTGACTAATCATTGCGATATATCACACGCCAGTTTGAGCACGTTACTTGAGCTTGATGAATCACCTTAAAAATGGACGTCTTAGAAATGCGCGGAAGAAACAGCTGGTAAATACAAGGAGAAAGAGGGAGGAAGAGATCACTAATGAACTTAAAACCTGGAATTAAAATCATTTGCTGGCGTCGCCCGGGGATAGAGAGAGTTGAGCATAAAATTAGACAACCTCAGGGTACTAAGTCGGGCAACTGCATTCAAAGCCAATGCTTTAAAACAGGTTTCGCCTTCTTCTCACACTCTCCATTATCAGTATTTTTTAACTAGGTGGGAGAGGGTTGGAAATAAAAATTTCTAATGGAAGGTCCAATGGAAAAGATTCCTGAAAATCGCTTAAAACGAACCGTAGCGGGGGAAACTGCAGATTTAAAGAGTGACAGCTCACACTGAAAAAAAACACACATTGGACCTAGAGTCCAGACTCTTGAAAACATTGACAAGAAAAAGGACTCTTGATCCAATCAGATTTAAGCTTAAATCAAAAGGAAATCCGCTCAAATTAAGATGGTTGGCTCTTGATTTAAGCTTAAATCTGATTGAATCAATAGTATTGTTTCTTGTCGATGTTTTTAAGAGTCTGGACTCTAGATCCAATGTGTTTTTTTTCCAGTACAGACCCTATACTACTTCCTAAAAGTTTTCCTTATTTTTTGAACAATTACTAGTACAGTTTTCTCTCTTTTTTTATTTTTTATAGGGAGCTAAAATACCATCTATCTCTTCTTGGTGACTGTATAAGATATGATAATGATTTCTGTGCTTATTGATCTTCTATGTACTTGAAGGTCTCACCTCATTTGATCAGACTTACTTCTTTAAACCAAAATTCCATCCTTGCGTTACCATCTGTAACGCAGGATCAGACCTTGATCCGTCCAAGAGCCCAGAGTGTTATTATTTTATGAATGGCCCTAAAATACGTTATTCACAAGAAAACTGCCCGGTATTCCCATAAATTCCCTTAAATTTCGCAATTTTTGAAGTTATATCTATTTCATCTGGCTTATTCCTGACTAGATCACCACCAATTTCTTCAAATATAGAGTCCCCCTTAAGCATATTGAGCATGTGAAATACTCGAATTCACCAAAAATTTTAGATGCGATTCTTTCGCTCCAAGCTACTGCTATGTGTTTCAAGAGTAGCAGCAATATATAATATAGCCTGAATATTTAGAGACTCTGCACTGTATGCAAGCAATGTAAAAAAGTTAGGCGAAAGTAGTTTTCGAATTCCTCATTTTTTATGAGTTGCTATGCACACCTGAACTGAAAGGTGACTGATTAATGCCGCGCAAAGCAATTTACCTTGAGAGTTTGTCATTCTTCACACGGCCAAAGGAAGATCCTCAAATGGAGAAATTAGTTGCGCATCATGGTCTCAAATTTGTCATGATATTTCACATGTTTCCGAAATAGTTGTTTGAGGAATCTTACTCATAAAATTCTATTTAATTATTGATTTTGAGCCCTAGACGCATCGATGATCATATTACCACTCAAGTTAGAGTATTTTGAAGCTGCGAACATTCAACAGTCAATTGGACTGGACCCATTTTGAGGACTCATCTTAATCGTGTGGAGATGACCTCAGACATAGGTGGGTATCTTCAACAAATTGCCAATCAGTAATCATCAAATGAAGCAGAAAGAAAGGAAGTGGAAGAGGAATATAAGTATGAGACGACGCACCTGACAGGAGATTGATCCTCATCAACAGCATCTGCGCGTGACTCAAACTCGATCGGAACGGACGACTCGGATTCGGAGTGTTCCTCAACGTGGGGCACTGTTTCAGGGGCGCGCGGCGCGTCTCCCGCTTGGACGGGAACGAAGGCGTTTTCCCGGACCACACTTCGGTTATCACTCGGGGTCGACATTATATCCAACAACTTGAGCATCTCCACCCGCTCTTGATGCGCGGCACTCGCGTGGGAACCGCCCGTCGAGTCGGGTTGTTTGGCACTTGCGTGTATCACACTCGGTGGCACTTCCGGGTGGGGTTTGAGACTCGCGTGGATGACGCTCGGCGGCACCTCCGCGAGTTTGGCACTCGGATTCGGCGCCACCTCCAACGCGTTCGCTTCGGCTTGTTTGGGGGTCGCGTGGATGACACTCTGTATTTGGTCCGCGTGTTCCGCGTGTTTGACACTCGCGTGAATCGCGTTCGGCACTATCACATCGGTTCTGTCCTTCGGCACGAAGTCTATGAGGCGCGGAAGATGGTCAAAATCACTGAAGTTTTCCTCCTCCTTGGTGTCGTCTATCGAGGGCTCAGGCACCGGGAGAGGTCGGTCCGACTTCACCGGCGGAGGCGGAGGAGGCGGTCTTTTCTTTCCGGATTTGAACTTCCCCTTTTGCGTCTGGATGTCCTTCCTCGGGAGAGGTTTCGGCGGCAGAACAGGCGCCTCTTCGGGAGGGTTCTGGGCGTCCGGGTCTTGGAAATTCGCTGGCGGCTGGAGGGAAACAGGTTCAGCTTCATTCGGGACGGTGCTGGGCTTTCCATCGGCTATGGAGGCGGCTGCGACGAGCTTGGTGAAGAGGGTGCTGTCCTCAATGACAGCGCTGGAGGAGAACTCTCGCTCCAGCTGAAGAAAGGGCTCCAGCACGCGGTCCAAGTACACAGTCGAGCATGCGTTGGGGGTGCGCGGGGCGTCGAAGGGTGCCTCCGCCGAGGTCGTCGATCGCACCTCGGAGAAGCTCGAGTTTGAGGTTGTCGGGCCGGAGGACACCCTGTCGATGACAGTCGACAAACTGCTTCCGGTGTCGTCCGACTCGGATTCGATGAAGTTCACTTCCGTGTCCTCCCCAGCGAAGAGGTCTGTATAAACCTGGGCCTCCTGGGCGTCGCCGTTGGTGAAGGTGTGTCTTGGCAGGGCCTTCGGGGACGCCTTGCATTTGTGGCAGGGCTCCGCGCTGCGGTCCGCGAAGTCCTCCGGAGGGTGCACCAAGAGGGAGACGTTGGACAACGACTCGGAGGCCTGCAAGGAGTTCTTGCGGAACTTGCGCGGGGGTACCGGAGGAGGAGCACTCTCGCCGGTCGGGGCGGGTTCACCCGCGTCGGCGGGGTTGGGGCGCTGCGCCGTGGGGTTGGGCCGAATTAAGAGTTTGATGACCACGCTCGATTCCTTGAGGCATCGCACGCACTCGATGCGCGTCATGCTGTTGACGGCGACCTCGTCGATGGCTAGGATCTCATCGCCGGCTGCGAGGAAGCCCCACGAGGCCTTGGAGCGGGAGGCCGGACTGTTCGGAGCGCAGGACTGTATGAAGAGCTTGTCGACTTTTTCGCAAGACTTGACGCCTCCGTCGAACTTGAGGCCTAGCCCGAGTCTCTCACCGGGGAGTCTGTAAAGAAGAACGAGCTCGGCATCGTCGTCTTTCTCCTTCGGGGGTTCTTCATCGTTGATGGCCAGGACGGTGACGAACGGGAGAGGTTTCTCGATGGCCGGGGTCTGTTCCACGGCGACGACGGTGACGAAGCCGCCGCTGACGTTGCTGTTGTAGGCGGCGGGGTCTTGGATTTTGGGGCCGACGTAGTTGGCGTAGGATTCGTCCACGTTCCAGTCGATGTAGGCGCCGGAGTCGTGGCTGTGCTGGGCCTTGTGGCCGACCTCCAGGGGGCTGTCCGTCTCCTGGCGCTCCATCTTTCTCTGGCTCTCGGCGTCACCTTCTCATGCCGCGTCGCGAAACCGGTTTCAGAGCACCGTTACGGCCCGGGCGCGGGGATGCATGGCCCCGAGTCGGCTGGGAGTTGGGTTCGCTATCGACTCGAGCGCATGGCTTTTCGTCCCGGCGCCAAAGACGAGTCCCGGCTCAACTTGCACTTTCCATCCGACTCGCACTCGCTCCCGATGCCCCGCCGCTACTTCTTCTTCTTCCGCTTTCATTCATTCATCCGAAACCTGCAACAACAAAAAAACCAAGCTCAGAACTTGCCGGCTACTTAATTATCTTGACACCAGTCCTGCCGTCCTCAGAAAAAACGCCGTATGAGCATTCCAACGTTGTCAAATTTCATCTAATTTACAGAAAAAATAGCATAGCGCTGAGCCCTCACTGGAAAAAAACACATTGGATCTAGAGTCCAGACTCTCAAAAACATCGATAAGAAAAAATACTCTTGATTCAATCAGATTTAAGCTTAAATCAAGAACCAGGCCTCTTAATTTGAGCGGATTTCCTTTTGATTTAAGCTTAGATCTGATTGAATCAAGAGTCCTTTTTCTTGTCAATGTTTTCAAGAGTCTGGACTCTAGATCCAATGTGTTTTTTTTTCCAGTGCTGGGGCCGAATTTTGTCGGTCCTTCCACCGTGCTTAAACATACTTAGGATGGGTCTAGACTGCACTTAAGTCCGGCTTAGCGCTTCTGATTGGCCGGTGGTGCGGTTTAAACTCATCGATGGCTGTTGCACTCCGTGTGAAAAAAGCCGACAAAATTCGGCCCTTGACACTTTAGGTGAAACAGCGCCAACTTCATGCAGTGGGGCTGGGGCTGGACCCTAAGGCTGTAGAGATGGACCCTACAGTTATAGGGCTCACCACAGCTGCCTGTTCCGCAAGTAATAGGGCTCAGCGCTATACGCTGTTTCTTCCGTGTAAGACATGAATTGCCTAGAATACTTTCAGTTATAATTCAAGTTTTTACTTTAATTTTTCGGGATTCTCTTCTAATTGGTCTAGTGTAGGTGTTCTAAAATCTAGAACGAATATTTAGAAACTTTTTTAAAAGTAAATATTTTATTAGGAGAAACATGACAACATTCAAAAGTTCATGTGGCGTTCTTCTTTGGCATGGCAGAGTTGGTGTCCGTGTGTGCTGCCTAAACTTGTTAGGTTTTTTATTTGAGAAATATTTCACTCGGCCGATAACTTAAGCATGCATTTTTTAAGCCTATCCGTCCATTTTGATACCGCGCGGGTAGAAGAGGGCGGAGAGAGGGCTATAAGGTAGACTTTCGCTGAAGAGCTAGAAAAAAATATCTCTGATTGACTGATTTCCTGACCTTGCAATGTGATATATTTCAAAGTTGTTACATAATGATGTTGATTATGAGTTAAAGTACGGTTTAAGAAGAGTCAGCTGTTTCCTTGAGGTTTTTCATAAAATTACGCCAAAATTTGAAATATATATCCCAGCATAAAGCTTTGAGGTTTCATAAAATGTTCCGTCAGTCGGTGCGAAAAATTACAAACAATTTTTAGGCAAGAAGTACTTAAATGTCATGTAATTTTACTAACTAACTTCTGATTTTCAAATCTTGAAAAATTAATCTAGAATCGAAGTCCGAAAAACGTCTTAAAACGTCAAAAAAAGATTTACTGAACCATTATTCCCACTCCCTGGCTTTTTTTGACCACTTCACTGATGATCTTTAGAGGATTTCCTTTTTCGAAATTGAATCCATTTGTTTCAGAGAGTACCCAACTCCGGACAAGATATTCTATTTTACTCAGCCCAAGACATTCAATTTTAGTTGACGAGTCATATTATCGGATGCTCCTCGAGGATTACAGTTAACCATTCAAGATACACTAGTTTCAACGTCAGAACGAATTCTCATCGACCCCGGAAATACAGCAACGAGAAAGGTAATGGATTCAATTTGAAAGCGGGACAGTGAAATTGAACAAGGAAACTCAACGGGACAATCGCCCGCCGCAGCCGTGGGTAATTTATTCACGGGAAAACAACATCAACGACAGAGAGAGGTGTTTACAAGATCATCATTTGATTGTACCGCTGATAAAGCGATGACTGCCAATCAAAGGAGCGAGGCGCGACTTTGAGGCAATTGTGAGAGCATGATCTCTCGGAAAATCACCGAAACAACCTGAAACAGGCGGTTTTTCAACGGATATTCGGCAACGTTGCGGGAATGTCAGGAATAATCGTTAATGTTATGATCAGATTAGTATCCATTTTGACTGTCAGCGTTTTAAGATCGAGAGATCTAGACTCCCTGTTGAATTTCCCATGGCACGGTTGGCTAATGACGTCATTCTTGTCACCTGTCTGATTAGTATTCGCACATTCGAGATCGCAGATCTGGGTTATTTCGTGTTTACACAGCTGTTGGAGAGATTTGTGAGGCGAAGAAAGACGAGATAAAAGTACCGAAGTGTGCTGTCTTCAGAAAGGGATCTATGGACTTTGTCGCTCATCTGACCTATGGGTTGCCTCCTTTCCACGTAAAAATTCGTCGAAATAATCATATGATAAAACTCTCTTTTCTTTCTTCGAACTTTTCATTGAATTAGCACGTATGCTGAAAGCCACGGAGAAAAATAGAACCCCGCTGAGCACCAGAATCTGCACCTCAGCACACGCGGCGGATGATTTTGCTTTACCCTACCGATCCGCACTTGGGCAAAGCCGGCGATTGTCTTCAGTACAGTCCTCCGGTATACTTTCGCACATACTTCCTCTACTAAGCGACATGTTTTCCTGCACTCCACCACATCCGGTGGAAGCTAAATCAAAGTTGGTGTTCAGCGCGGTTCTATTTTTCTCCATGAGGTTCTCTCTACATTAAGCACCCTCGGCTGATAGACTCCTTGCCCAAGGTAGTCCAATAAATGGCCTTTGTATAGTTAAGAGAATACCTGAAGATAAATGTTTCCATCCAATAGTTTTTAGTTGAATATAGATGAACACAAAAACAATTCCTCCATGTGTGGCTTTGGCTAATACGCTCGCAAATATACACAGATAAAAGAGTGAACAGGCCCAAGACAGAATAAAAGCTCTGTCAGCATTAGATTTATTCAGAGATGTATTTTGTTATTTTCACTTTAAGTACTCGATTTATATTGAGATATGTTTATTTAAATATTCAATGATAATTTGTCGAACGATTCATTAATTTATTTCAAATTCATGCGACATATTTATAATTTTTTTCGCCTCTTTTCTCCATTCAAATCATGGAACATTTTTTAATGAGCCAGATAGTCAGTCTTTTTTTTCATCGAGAAAGTCCCACTGAGTATTAAAGTCAACGAACGACGCAGAATTACAAGAATCAGTCATGAGCACAGAAGGCACGCCAAAAATCACTATTAGCTCAACGATCAAATAAGGTTAAATGCGCAATTAAATCCCCACGGGCCGACGGCGAAAAAGAAGAAAAATGCAAGGTGTGTAAGGAAAAGACTGCATCGTTACCAAGTTGCCACGACTCGTTTGCGGATTATGCTGCCGTGCTAAGGAAAAGCGCCGTATGAACATTCGAGAGTTGTCAAATTTCCTTCGATAAAATGTTTATTTTTTAGGGAAGTTATGAATATTCTTCCATTACATTTTCAGAATCTTTAGGTGAATTTGCGAACAAAATTATCGGAAAAATTGGGAGGAAAATATTCATGAGTTTACCGGGAAGTTCGCGTTTTATCGAAGAAAATTTGGCAACGTCTGAAGGCTTATACGGCGTTCTTCCTCAGCACGACAGTATGGGTAGGCGGAAAAGGACTAAACCGTTGTGAGGAAAATAAGTTATATATATATATATATATATATATATATATATATAGAGGAAAATAAGTTACACAGTCGAAATCTGCGGCATTCCTTTATGACGGAATGCCCCTCCGATCCTTGTTATGAATGAGAATGGGCTTCGAGTTGCATAAAGTTCATAAACGAGGGGAGTTACAAAATATTGTGCGTAATCGTGGGATTTTTTCCGATCTTACACGTTTTCCAGGCTTAATTAGACCCCCATTAATTAGATTTAATTGGATTCCCGGTTAATGACAGCTGTGAGTACGCCTGGGGGCGGGCGTCGAGAAAAAGAGGCAACGTCCATGCTGAGACACTCAAGACTTCATCAATGTCTCAACGTCGGCTGGGAAACATCACGATCCAAATAAATAGAATGCAATTATGGAAAAAGTCTGTCTAGAATGATAACCTCGCGCGCTATACATGAATGTATGCAAATCGTATACGGAAAGAAAGGGGGAAAACTTAGTCTATTTTGCACAATATTAAAAAATGTATCCACATACAAGATTTCGCTATTTCCCCCGAGGAATATGCCATTAACCGAGAAACACGCCGCTTCATAGCCTTCACTGGAAAAAAAAAAAACACATTGGATCTAGAGTCCAGACTCTTAAAAACATCGACAAGAAAACGAACTCTCGATTCAATCAGATTTAAGCTTAAATCAAGAACCAAGCCTCTTAATTTGGGCGGATTTCCTTTTGATTTAAGCTTAAATCTGATTGAATCAAGAGTCCGTTTTCTTGTCAATGTTTTCAAGAGTCTGGACTCTGGATCTGTTTTTTTTTTCCAGTGTTCGACTTTGATGCAAGGGCAACCTTATATAATTAAAAAAATAAGAAATCTCTATTCCAGAAATTTGGTCGTTTCTGTTCTTTTCAATACGGCGATAACAACTTTTAACTCTCGATTTTAAGTTTTCAATGACGAAAAAAATTCGCAATTTTCAATCCTGGTAGCTGTAATCTGCTTAATTATATGTATGATGGTTTTAAGTTGTTGAAGTGTGACAACTGTGGCGGTGGTAAAAAGTAGTATTAAAAGCTACTTCTCTGTGCTCCATTGAGTGGGAAGCTCAGGTTTGCGGCACCAGCTCAACCTCAGCGGGCAATGATATTTCAACTCATTAATACACATACCTGCGTTTTGCGAAATTCCTAACACGCCTCTATTAACTGTTCAAACGCATGACTAACCCACTGCATGTGAATACATTAGCCGCACAGTCGGCAAAAAATTCGTGGTTCTCTTGTCTAAAATTTGAACACTTCGTCTCAATGCGGGATGAATATTGCAAGCGGCAAAACTTTGCTCGCCGAAAACGACCGTTTTGGGGGTCTTCTTGCCCAAAAGGACCGCGTCCATACTCTCCCTATTTTTAAGTAGATGACAACTCC